TTTTCTCCAGAATCACCCTTCCAAAGACAGGGTAAGAGTAATTATCTCTTTATAATAAGGTTAATAAGAGGTTTCAGGATAATAATAAAACAGGATAATAACAGGTTAATACTCTTATTAACCTGTATCCAGAAAGCAAAGGCACCACAGCACACACAAGGGAAGATTTGCTTTCCTCTCTGCTGTTCTCCAAGTGGTATCAAACAGTCCAAACACTTTTGAAGACACATAAACCTCTGAGGTTGGCAGAGGGGCGATTCTTGATCTGTACCCACAATCCACGAAGCACAGGAGAATGGAGGGAGAGAAAACCAGTCACATCTTCCTTACTTGCGAGCTGCAGTGTGAGGATGCCAGTCTCAACTTAATCTACAACAGACTTTTGGCTACTGTAAAGCTACTAAACCAAGGATCCAAACTCTGTAAACTGTCATGGAAGCTCAGGAAGACCAGATTGTGTGTAGACCATATTTTAATACACGGCAAAATACCACACACAAAAATAACCTACATGCCAGTTTTAGAGGTTCAGCTGTCAGGGGTCATAAGCCAAGCCTAGTACAGGACAACTGTGAAACCTTAGTTCAGCTTTATTGGAAAAAAATGCTGTTGGCTACGATAGACTGCATAAGCTAAAGTCACCCACTATTAAAAAAAGAATGCAAAAGTAAAAATTGTTAAGGCAGTAATAAAAACTCAAAGGCTCAAGAAAAAATTGCCTCTGTGAAAAGGCAATAAAAAAAAAAGACCCTGAAGAGAAAAAGGCAGAGGGATGGGAGACGGCAATTCAGCAAAACTGAGATGCAGTCTGTTCTAAAGAGCAGTGGTGACTGACGACAGCCTGGCCACCAGACTCCTCCAGTGCCCGCACTAGGGTGATGAGCACGTACAGATTAGCCCAGGAGCACACTGGTCCCAGCAATTTACTTAATGCATTAGCCAGTAAGTAATTGCTGCAAACTCTGTATAATCCTCCTTCACAAACTCTGTGTAATCCTCCTTCTGCATCTCTGCACGTGATAAAAGGATGCCCAGGTAGAAGTCACTCACAGGCTCAAGGGTCATGCTGCTGCACAGACATGAGTGCACACTGGCTTCCCCACATAACCATTTCGCCCTCCCTCACGCCCTTCAGTCACCTTATGCTCTTCAAGCTCCTGTTCTCTTCCATTTCTTCTCTTTTCTTCCTCTGCCTCCACATACTGACACTACCAGTGAAAGGGATACGATGAGGGTGACAGCTCACATCTGTGATCTTGATGGCCACATGAAGTCATTACAGCCTTTTCAGCAACCACAACAGGAAGGAAACCAAAGAGACAACCGGAAGAAAAGCAGTCACAAGACCTATATTTAGGCATCAAAACTGCATGCACTCAATGTGAGAGGTTGTCACCAGGCTTCCCGGACAGCATATGCTAAGAGAGGTGGGGAGGCAGTCATCTGTATTGGTCACTGTGGTGTCAGGCCCAGTCCACAGACTGCATGAGGTGCAAGACCTTTTCTTACATCTCCCCAAGTCATCCGGACGGCCTGTTCACAGGGTAGGAGAGCCTTCTCCATGGAGCACTCTCCACCTAACCTTTCTTCTCAGAGTACAAAGGAAAAGGAGCTGTCAAAGAGATTTTTCTACCCTGTCTCCCTCCAGGGATAGCAAGTTAGGTAAGTGGGAAGAAAAAAAGTAACTACATGAGTGACTGACACAACAGAAGCAATAATTTTCTGCTGTCTAGTCACGTATCATGACGGAACTTCAGCTGGAACAAATTGTCTTTGAAGTTCACTGAAAGCTAGGGACATCCATCTACTGGTAGTCCCATTTGGATATGGCACAAAAAGACAAACAGCATAGGTGCTTGAGGCCTGTATGATGGGTTAGGCCTTTTTTGGGCAGGGAGGACACTTGCAGGCATCATTTATTAAATGAGTTTATAGGTTTACTAAAGAGTACATCACTTGTAACAGTCCTGAGTGTCAAACTTTACTTTGCAGAGGATAAAGTGATCGTTGCAGGAACGCACCTCGTACACAACACTGTATGCTGGAGCAGAGAATGACGGTACGGGCACAAGCATGAATTCATATCAATGTGCCTCTCACATTGTTTCCAGCTGCAGTCTGGATCTAAGACCATGAAGGTGCAGAGCCAGTCATGTGATATGACAAAAGGTAGGTCTGTGTCCAATTCACCAATAAACAAATAAATAAAGTCTTCATTAGACAGTAACCTCAAATCTGGTGCTAAAGACCTATGTTATTCATTAGCATCAAGTCTTTGCTTTTGATACTACTGTTAGTTGACCCAAAAAGCCTTGAATATCATCTGTTTCTCATATAGTAGTAACAAGAGACCACCCAGGTGATTTCTCTTCACAAAAAGACAACAAATTGCACTGCCTCTCATCTGTGTCTGAGCTTCAGAAAAAAAATGCATTTTTAATATGCTTAATATCTCAGACATATATTATCCTGCTTCATCTTTTTCCTCTGCTTTGAGTCATTTCTATTTTCCCATCTCCAGATTTCAATTTTAAGCTGCGTTTCTTCTCTCTACTTTCTCCTTCCCTCAAAAAAACTGCCACATGAACAAATAACAAAAACAAAACAAAAAAAACCTCAGTCAATTATGGATTTAAAGTCAACAGTTTCCTTCAAGCTGCAGTTGAAAGTCCATACATTTCACAACAAGACAGAAAGTCACTAACTGTGGTATATAATGCCTGTAAAAATGTATTTCCTAGAGTAGTAAATGGAAGCTTGTCAGACTTGAAAACAACAGTAAGTCTTCATAACTACATCAGTAAGTCTTCATAACGACATATAAAGTCATAAAGCCTTGCTCAGTTTTAAACAGATCCTTACTGATGTCTATAGATATGATTTAAGATAGAGATTACATTGAACTTTTCTTATCATAAATGTATCTTTGCAGTTTCACAGGCCTGATATGACTCAAGCTATTCTTTGCATGGGAAACCAGAGAGATGTCTTCTTTATTAGCAGGCTCGAGAATGAAAACCCATTTCCAGATGTTCTTGAGAAGTCCTCCACCTGTGACCTCACTTGAATTAAATCATGTAAAGGCAGAAATGGATGTAAAGGCACATGGATGTAATGGATGTAAAGGCACATGGATGCCTACTTTCCTGAAGAAAGCAGTCACAGAAGTGAGGTGTTCTGTGAATACCATCAATGCCTTCCATTCCTTCACAATTAGGCTTAACATCTTTGAATTTACCTTTATTCACACTGAAAATCAAGGAAGAATTATACTGTATGAAAGCACGCATTAAAGCAACAGAGCTAACAGCTTTTAACTTACTGCACTGCGAGTAATTATTACTTGTCCCATGAACACATATACAAACAATATGAATTTGTAAAGTTAAAAAAAAAAAAAAGTAAATTTAATTTGGACAAAATTCTCCCCAAAAATGTAGATTTTTGTTTAAGACTGCACTACTCAGTGACAGTCCTGAGAGTTTTTCATAGTAAGAATAAAAACAAAAGTGAGGCTTTTTATCAACACTAAGAAATAGTACTATTACTTCTTAAAAGGCATGCAGAGGCAATCATCCTCACAGCACTGTGAAAACAATTCCTATAAGCACCAGCGTTAAACTATCTCTTGAATCCACTCCTAAAATATAAGCATCCCTCTTTTAAGAGCTAACAACTATAAAGTGGTGTTATGAATGTTTTTGAAATTGCACTCATACTTCTCATTTGCTCTCCCAAAGCATCAGAACGAGGCACAACATTTCTGGCCCGCTCCTTCCTGCTGGCAGCATGAAGCAGCTTCACATTCAATTTCTGATCTCCAGAAAGCCATAAAAAAGGCTGGGGAAAACTTTGACCCTGATTTCTAAAAGCCAGAAAATTATATATATTTAAACAGCCGAAGGGCACAGGAGGGTGATTACTCAGCTTACCTTGCACCTGGATGCAGAAAAAATAAAGCAATCAATAAAAGATATGGTCAAATCTTTTAGGGTTTTGCTCAAGTTTGACACTATGCACCTCTGGCAAACTAATGACATGATATTGTGCAAGATTGCACTTAAAAATTTTCTGTGTACAGTTATGAGATTCTTATCTTTAGCTGAGCAAGTAAGAGGCCAAAAAAAAACCTATATCGCATCCCTTTGACATATATTAAAAAATCTCCAGACTTTCTTCTTTAAGAAAGATTCATATATTGCTAAGAAAAATGCTAGAAAATTCTCTATACCCAAATTTACATTCCATCCTATTCAGCTTTTCCTCAGAGGCAGGTGTCTAGAGAAAGAGATGTCTACTTATGCATTTGCAAACAATTTGTTGAATTAGAAGAACTCCCTCTTCAAATTTAGAGACAAAACTGTGCTTTGCCTTTTCATCCTTAGTAAACAGCGCGGTAATCCAAAATAAGTGGCATGTAAAGCTGTTATGAATCAGACTCTGTAATCACATTTCAATGTTTTACTGGTTGTAAATAACATGCACGAGTGCTCCAAGGATCAAATTGCTCTTCTGCTGCCAACATTAGTTGTTTAACGATCTGAATAACAGAAGCTGCCAATTATTGTATTCCATTTTAAAGTGTCATTTAAAACACATACATGTAATTATTATACCTTTGTTGTTAACTTATTATGGCTCTTCTTAGCTGCACAGCTCTAGGCAGTTAACTTGTAAAGGCTAGGCAAGCTATTGACAGTTATTTATCAATTTTGCCTGTCAAAAAATGTCATGTTCTTTATATGACTAATGCCTGTCATCCAGCACTCTCTTGGAGAACAGTTCCCCACCATGGAGCAGGGCTTGAAGCACATTACACAGAACATGACACAGTCCAGGCTAATGGATTCTGCTGGACTAGCAATGGCTTCAAGGAACTCAGTAACATGTAGACAGAGCCATGACCATTTGCCCAGGAAGACTCAACTACAAGAGGGTGAACAAACTGCCCCAAAACACCCCTTGTCAGCTGCTAGCCCTTCCCATCATTTAAAACTTACCTGAAACAGCCAGCATTTTGGCTTCAAGGAGAACTGGTAGCCGAGTCTCAATATCACTCACTTCCCTCCTCAAAGTACTGCAGAGTTTCTGACTTGCGCAAACCTAGATTGAGGCAGACAGCCATGATACATAATTCATTCATGTAAAAGTACAAGGTAATTTAAAGGGGGCTTCAAATGCTCATGGTTTACAAACATGACACAACCTACAGCAAGGTACCAAAGCTTAACAAAAAGTGATGTCTTTGCTGAAATATCCAATGCAAATCAGAATTTCTGTGGCTTTTGCCACACATATTCCATTATAAGAACAGAAAACACTAGCATTAGCTACCTACATAAGAAAGGTTATGTTTCACTACTAGATCCTGAGGCTGAACATAGAAGAAAGGGCAGTTTATGAACATTACAATTCAGTGATGCCTGGAATCAGAGAAATTTAAGGAAAACAAGGTTTGGCGCTTAAGATTTCAAAACACAAAATGCACTGTGATTTTATTATTATTATTATTTGCCAAAGATACCACATCACATATCCTAACTGGCAAAAGAAAAAGCAACTGACATTCTCTGGACAGGCAATAGATAAGGCTAAACCAACTCAATGTTGTACTTCATTTCACAAAGATACAGAGATACCACATCACATATCCTAATTGGCAAAAGAAAAGGCAACTGACATTCTCTGGACAGGCAGATAAGGCTAAACCAACGCAATGTTGTACTTCATTTCACAAAGATACAGTTGCATCAGGTCCTGGGGCCTCTGCCTCTTTTTTGGAATTGGAAATCTACCAGCAACAAATCAGAGCTGGTATTAGCATGGAAAGTGACAAGAGAAAAGACTTGAAAAGAAAGGAGCTTCACCTTTTTCGGTACTTAATATTTAAGCAAAAATAAGCACCTTAAAAATCCTTTTATGCAATACACAACTTATACCATTCTCATATATCAAAAATGTCATTCTCCTCTTATATTGCAGCACTTGTAAAGGAAAGAAAAATGCACAAACCGAAAAACCCCGCAACTAGGTAAGGCCTATATCCAGATATTAGGAAATACTCTTGTTCCAAACCACACAGAACCACAGAACAGTTGAGGTTGGAAGGGACCTCTAGGGATCATCTAGTTCAACCCCCTCCAACCAGCAGGGACACCTAGAGCACGTGGCACAGGGTGGCATCCAGGCGGGTTTGGAAGATCTCCAGAGAAGGAGACTCCGCAGCCT